GTCATTAAAAAGACAAGAAAGGAAGAAAAGACCAAAATGGATGTCAGAAAAGATTCTGAATCTTGCTCTTGGAGAGTAGCAGCTAAAGTGAATGGAAGAAATGACAAGATAAAAAGAGCTGAACAGAAGGTTTCAAAGAGGAGCTTGAGTAAACAAAGTAAATTATTATAATGAAATGTGCAAAGACCAGGAGTTAGAAAACCAAAAGGAAAGAACACACTCAGCATTTCTCAAGCTGACAGAACTGAAGAAAAATTCAAGCCTAGAGCTACAGTATTGAAGGATTCTATGGAAAAATACTGAATGATGCAGGAAGCATTGAAAGAGGATGGAAGATTACACTGAGTCACCATACGAAATGGAATTGATCAATGTTCATCAATGTCAGGATATGACACAGGATCAAAAACCAATGGTATTGGAGGAAGAAGTCAAAGGTGCACTGAAAGTAGTAGTGAAAAACACTGCTCCAGGAATTGACGGAATATCCATTGAAATGTTTCAACAAACAGATGCTACCCTAGAGGCACTTACACATCTATACCAAGTAATTTAGAAAATAGCTACCTGGTCAACTGACTGGAAGAGATTGATATTTGTATCCATTTCAAGGACAGGTGATCCAATAGAATGTGGAAATTATCAAACAATATCATTAATATCATATGCAAGTAAAATTTTGCTGAAGATAATTCAAAAATGGTGGCAGCTGTATATTGACAGAGAACTTCCAGAAATGCAAGCTGGATTCAGAAGAAGATGTGGAACAAGGGATATTATTGCTGATATCAGATGGATCTTGGGTGAAAACAAAGAATACTTGAAAGATGTTTATTGTATTTTATTGACAATGCAAAGGCATTTGTGTGGATCATAAGAAATTTTGGATAACATTATGAAGAATGGGAATTCCAGAATATTTAATTTAATGCCCATGAGAAACCTGTACATAGATAAAGAGGTTGTTTGTTCATACAGAACAAGGGGATATGGCATGGTTTAAAATCAGAAAGGGAGTGTGTCAGGGTTGTATCCTTTCAGAATACTTATTCAATCTGTATGCTGAGCAAATAATCTGAGAAGCTAGACTATATGAAGAAGAACACGGCATCAGGATTGGAGGAAGACTCATTAACCATCTGCTGTATGCAGATGACACAACCTTCCTTGCTGAAAGTGAAGATGACTTGAAGCACCTACTGATGAAGATCAATGACTATAGTCTTCAGTATGTATTACAACTCAACATAAAGAAAACAAAAATCCTCACAACTGGACCAATAAGCAGCATCATGGTAAATGGAGAAATAATTGAAGTTGTCAAAGATTTCATTCTGCTTGGATCCACAATCAACACATATGGAAGCAGCAGTCAAGAAATCAGATGTATTGCACTGGGAAAATCAGCTGCAAAAGACCTCTTTACAGTGAAGAGCAAAGATGTCACTTTGAAGACTAAGGTGCACCTAACCCAAGCCATGGTATTTTCAATTGCCTAATATTCATATGAAAGCTGGTCAATGAACACAGAGTCACTATACCAAAAAAAACTGGTCAATCTTCATCTATTTCAGGAGGTGGCATATGATCAAGAACCAATGGTACTGAAGGAAGAAGTCAAAGCTGCACTGAAGAAACTGGCGAAGTACAAGGGTCCAGGAATTGACACAATACCCAGTGAGATGTTTCAACAAACAGATGCCCCACTGGAGGCACTCACTCAGTTATGCCAAGAGATTTGGAAGACAGCTATCTGGCCAAGTGATTGGAAGAGATCCATATTTGTACCCATTCCAAGGAAAGGTGATCTCACAGAACATGGAAATTATCAAAGAATATTATTAGTATCACATGCAAGTAAAATCTTACTGAAGATAATTCAAAAAGGGTTGCAGTAGTATATTGCCAGAACTTCCAGAAGTGCAGGCTGGATTCAGAAGAGGACGTGAAATGAGGGATATCATAGCTGCTGTCAGATGGATCTTGGCTCAAAGAAAGAATGCAAGAAAGATGTATACTTGTGTCTTATTGACTATGCAAAAGCATTTGATTGTGTGGAGCATAACAAATTGTGGATTGTAAGGCCACAGTAAGGAGAAGAGGCGCACAAAAGTGAAGTTAAAGAGAAGTTTTTATTCTGAGTTTCTGGGTGAGGTTCACAGGTCCCTGAGAGGGGCCCGAGAAGTCACACCGCCTGGCTGGGGAGGGGAGGGTTTATAGTCTTGTGGAGGACCTAAGTGGGGACACTAAGGAAATGGTGGGGTCCAATTAGCTGTAAGCATGGGTCTGTACTTAATTAGCATGAGGGAGCTTCACAAGAGGAAGTTTGTCACTGCATGGGACTTTCCAGTCTGGTTGGGTTTTGTCACCTCGGTTGTCTTATCAGGCTGTCTCATCAGGGCCTGACACCTGGAGGAAGCTGCCAGCTGACATATTGGGGCTTGGGTTTGCTTCAGCCTAACATGGATAACATTGAGAAGAGTGGGAAATCCAGAACACTTAATTGTACTCATGATGAACCTATACATAGACCAGGAGACTGTCGTTCAAACGGAACAAGGGGACACTGAATGGTTTAAAATCAAGAAGGGAGGACATTAGGGTTGTATCATTTCACCATACTTATTCAATCTGTATGCTGAGCAAATAATCCTAGAAGTGGGACTATATGAAGAAGAATGTGGCATCAAGATTGGAGGAAGAATCACTAACAACCTAAGATACGCTGATGGCACAACTTTGCTTGCTGAAAGTGAGGATGACTTGAAGCACTGACTGATGAAGATTGAAGAATACAGTCTGCAGTGTGGATTACATCACAATATAAAGAGAAAAAAATTCTCACAACTGGACCTATAAGCAGCATCAAGATAAATGGATAAAAGATTTTAGTTTTCAAAGACTTCACATTGCTTAGCTCCACAATCAGTGCCAATGGAAGCAGCAGTCAACATATAGCACTGGGCAAGTTGGCTGCAAAGGACCTCTTTCAAGTGCTGAGGAGCAAAGATGTCTCCTTGAGGACTAAGGTGTGCCAGACATAAGTCATGATATTTTCAATCAACTCATATGCATGGTAGAGCTGGACAATGAATAAGGAAGACTGATGAAGAACTGATGCTTTTGAGATGTGGTGCTGGTGAAGAATGCTGAAAGTACCATGGACTGCTAAAAGAACTAACAGATCTGTCTTAGAGAATGTGCAGCTGGAATGCTCCTTGGAAACGAGAGTGGGTACACTTTGTCTCACCTCCTTTGGTCATGTTATCAGAAGGGATCATTCCCTGGAGAAGGATGTCATGCTTGGTAAGGTGGAGGATCAACGAAAGAGGGGAAGGCCCTCAACGAGATGGATTGACACAGTGGCTGCAGTGATGGTCTTAGTATAACAGGGATCACGGAGCTGTATAGAACCAGGCAGTGTTTCGTTCTGCTGTGCATAGGGTCACTATGAATTGCACATGACTCGATGGCGCCTAAGAACACCAACAAGAAAGAAAACAAAAATCCTCACAAATAGACCTATAAGCAACATCGTTGCATATGGAGAAAACATTGACATTGTCAAGGATTTCATTTTTCTTGGATCTATGATAAATGCTCATGTAAACAACAACAGTCAATAAATCAAATGATGTATTGCATTGGGCAAGTCTGGTGCAAAAGATCTCTTTGAAGTGTTGAAAAGCAAAGTTGTCATGTTGAGGACTAAGATGTGCCTGACTCAAGCCAAGGTATTTTCAATTTCCTCCTTTGCATGAAAAATCTGGGTGATAATAACAAACACTGAAGAACTATTGATGCCTTTAAATTATGGTGTTAGCAAAGAATACTAAATATACCATGGACTTCCAGAAGGAACAAATCTGTCTTGGAAGAAGTACTAGAATACTCTTTGTCAGCAAGTTTGTTGAGACTTCACTTTATATACTTTAGGGATGTTATTAAGAGGGACCAGTCCTTGGCTAAGGACATCATGTTTGGTAGACAAAACAAAACAAAAACAAACACAAACACACTGCCATCGAGTCCAATCCGGATCCAACTCATAAAAACCCCTCCTTGGGTTTCCCAGGTAAGATCCCTATGGAAGTAGATAAGATGAACAAAAGGGATTGACAGGTGACTGCAACAATGTGCTCAAGGCTAACAAAGATTCTGAGGACACTACAGGACCAGGTAATGTTTCATTCTGTTGTACCTAGGACTGTTAGGAATCAGAATTGAATTAATGCTACCTAATAACATGGCACTTGACTGCTAGCCAGAAGGCTGGCGGTTCAAACCCACCAGCCATTCCTCGGAAGGAAGGTTGGGCAATCTACTTCCATAGTGATACTGCCTCAGAAACCCAAGGAGGGGTCGCTATGAGTCAGGTCCGACTCGGTGGCACATAATAACAACAATAAAAACAATAAGAACAACAATTTCTACAGATTTTTTTCATAATAGTGAAAATATTAAAACAGGATATTTTTGACCCCATGTATCATGAGCTCTGAAAATGAATTACCTGCCTTAGAAAACTTGTCATGAAAATGTTAAAATATTATAAAATTTAAGTGATATAGTGTAGTCACATATTAGGCAGGTAGACCATAATCATTATTATGAATCTTATAATTATTAAAGCAAAATTATTTTTAAGGAGGAAATTAGCTATGTTGGCCTCAACAATTAGTTTCTAGGCTTAAGAAATATATGTATTCGATAATGATTTTGATAAAGCTTGTGGCCCAGCTAATTGATCAGTATAGTACTACATCTAATTGAAAAATTCACTTACCATTATCACTTTCCATAAAAGAAACCAAGCATGGTGATTGACTCTTGCCAGAAATAATATTTTCTAAAGAACTAAGGAGCACAGTGTGATGTGTATGCTATATGCTCAATCAGTTTTTATCGAATTAATGACTTGGAATTTAATTCTTATCTTCTTTGTTCTTGCTGACTCTGATATTTCTAAAACTCTCTTGTGTTAATATTTCTTATAACAGGAAGTTATATTCAAACTAGACACACATAATTTGGAGTCTGGCAGACTGAAATGTCCTTTTGATCCTCAGCAGCCTTTTGCTTCAGTAATGACAGGTAAGATTAACAACAGGCCGTTCTTCCATTTAGGTGATGTTCTAAGAAGGCATGAGTAGATTAACTCCCATTTTCTTATTAAGTTAAAGATCATTTGGAATTTATCTTCTACTGTTTTTTGGTTTCAGCCTGGGCCAAATCTCTGTCTACCTAACATTCCTACTAAAAAAAATGTAGCCCCAGCAATCTTTAATGCCTGCGCAGCTCCTTGTTAAATGAATTTCTGGCTGAACTCTTTTACAATGTAAATGATCACATGCTTATTTTTTCTATAGTTTTACATTTAGATGTTTCAGCTTCTTAAAATGAACCATATCTGTATTTGTCTCAGTATCAAAGTTAAATTTAGCAGTTCCTTCAACACAATAGCTTATAAAATATGTTGAAAATTTGAACGGAAGGATTAATAATAAGACCTAAGTGGACAAACTAATAAACAAAATGAATCAATTTATAGAATACAGGCAATAGAAAGTTTATAATATTTTTTCCCCAATATAACTATCTCCAGATTAATTAATTAAAATTTTATGATATTAGTTGCTTGAATATCCAGTCTTCTCTCTGTATACATGTTAAATTCTCTTATGAGACCACTCACTATCTCTTTCAGTGAAGGCAGAAACTATGTGATGTGAAGTCTTTTCTGAGGAATACAGGTGTGACCTCTGAATTTCAATCATTTTGTTTTGGTTTGCTTCATGAATGTAGTCTCTTTAACTTGTCTATCAAAAGAACCTTTTAAAGTGTTGAAAAGCAAAGACTTCCCTTTGAGGACTAAGGTACACCTGATTCAAGTCCTGGTATTTTCAACTACTTCATATGCATGGGAAAGCTTCACAATGAATAAGGAGGACCAAAGAAAAATTGATGCATTTGAATTGCGGTGTTGGTGAAGAATATTGAATACAGCATGGACTGCCAGAAGAACAGATGTATCTGTCTTGGAAAAAATATAGCCAGAATGTTCCTTACAAGCGAAATGGCAAGCCTTCATCTCACATACTTTGGCCATGTTATCAGGAGGGACCCGTCCCTCGAGAAAATTGTGCTTTGTAAAGTAGAGGGTCAGTGAAAAAAGGGAGCTCCTCAACCAGCTGGCTTGACAGTGGCTGCCACACTGGCCTCAAGCACGGCCAGCATCGTGAGGATGGACCAGGACCAGACAGTGTTTGTTCTGTTGCAAATAGGCCCACTCTGAGTAGGAACCAACTCTAGAGCCCCTAACCACAAACAATATCAAATGTTTGAGAAGAAGATAAGAATAAAGCACTATGGCATTTTAATTTTTGACTAGTCAGCACTAATGATCTTGCTTTGAAATGAGAACATGTCTTTCTCCATATTTTGAAAGTTGCATTACTAAATATAAGGTGACTGGGATTTTGATCTGTAAAATGGGTTGACACACCCTTAATTAAAAAAAAAAAAA